ACACACACACACACACACTCCCCTTGGTATGTCTACTATATATTTCACAGATTTTTTGTTTTAAAAAAAGGAATTCTTTCACATAAATAATAGCTAAATAAAACTAATAGTAATCCCTTGTTCTTACTTAACACATATTAGTCCATGTCAAATTTACCTATTCCTTAAGAAAACACCTTTTGATAGTTGACTTGTAATAATTAGTACTGAAACAAGATCTTCTTATTCAACAAATATGCATAGAATCAAATATGATGTGGGATTCTATAAAATGCAGTGATTCCAGTGGTGGACACAACAGCCACAGTCCTGGCTCAAACAGAAGAAAGCTATGAAATAAGAAATTCCACAAACCTATAATTATTTATTTCTAGTTGTGATCCATGCTAAGAAAGAAAAATAAAAGGCTAAAAACTATAATAAATTATAATCTACTAATCTACTTGGTATGGGATGGTATTTATCCTATATAATTCAAAGCATCTAGTGCAGTATTAAGTAAATAAACATTTCTGGATTGTCTGGAAAATAAATTCTGGTCAGATTATCCATCTTTACTGTAAACTCAAGTTCTTTCTTATCCACAAACCCTAAACTATTTTAGTCAGCAACCTAGTATTTAATCCACTGAACCATCAGGACTCATTTAATCTACTGAGGTTCATTCTAAACCACAAATCCTGAAATTAACATAGAAGCAACTTACTAAAGACCAATCTGTCAAATCCAGTAACAAAAGCTGTTGGAATCACCCAATGTCTAGAATTATCAGATGCTTTCCATTTGTCTACAAGAGTAAGAATCATTAATGCAATTAATTAATTAGAACTTAGCTCTTTTTCTTTTGGAGGGCTTCTTAAATGCTAAGATTAAATGAATTCTTTGAACTCTGAACATTAAGTCCAATTCTCCTTGAACTTCATATTAAAGAAAAGGAGACAGACAAATTAGTTTTCTGAAGGTGAATATAATAAATTATTTTTTTAAAAAAAGACATTACCAAGAATTAATAACACAGACAAGGAAAAAGAATGCAAATAATCAACTATTTGAGATCAAAAGGGCAGCTATTGCCTAGGATAAAGCTCAGAAGACAAGGATCACTTAGGAAGAGCAATTGGAAGCAAAGGCAAAAAGGGGGCATTAAACTGTGAGGACAGTAGCGAGTATCAGGAAACAAAATGTGTAGGAATTACTGAACAGAAAGTCAATGTGCTCTGTCAGCTTCCACCAAAAATATGCGCAAATTGTTGAATGGAAAAGGAATCACTCTGTAATTTGTCATCTAATTCACAATAAAAAGTAAAAAAGAAAATTTAAATTACATTTTTCTGTAGGATGGCAAATGATTGAGCAGAGTTTTGTTCTCCTGCACACTTAGTCCCCAGGATTTACAGTTAATTCAATAATATCTGACAAGAACAAGATTAGGTATTAGGACAAGAAATTTTAACAAGCAACAAAATAGACACTAAGAAAAATCTTAAGTACATGCTGAGTAGTGTATTGCCCCACTATTCAAATGGATTTTAAGGAGAGGTTAAGGAAGGATACTTGCACAGGCATACTAAATTAAGGAGCAACATTTGGTAGTGCAACAATAGTTAAGCTTCTGTTAACCAAAAGGTCACTGGTTCAAACTTGCAAAGATACACCGCAAGAGAAACGTATATGAATGAAAATCAACGTTTTTTTTTTAAAAAAAGGTCTGTTGCTGATTGCTGTTGAGTTGATTTCAACTCACTGAAACACGATGGGAGGGTGCAGAACTGTGCTATCAGGTTTCTTTGGGTATCACCTATACCCAAGTAGCTCATTATGCCTTTCTCCTGCAGAGCCTGTGGGGTGGTTCAAAACACCAACCTTAAAGTTAGCAGCCCAAAGCTTAACCACTGTGCCACCAAGACTCCTAGAAAACCCTGTGCACCTATTCTACTCTATCACATGGTTGAAACTACTTTATGAGTTGAAAATTAATACTAAGGCACCAACTGCACCACCACCACCACCACCACATTTTAAGATCAGCTAAAATGCAGGATAAGAAGAAAAACAGTAGCAACAAAGATAAAGATTTTTAAAACGTTACAGCATTATTTAAAAATATATTATTTTTATGCAATGTACTCCACTAGCATTCAATATGTTTAAATGTCCTTCATATGGTAGTCTAATTTCTATGAACTAGAATGATATCTGATTGAGGGTCTCAGAAAGAAATATCTAAGTTTTCCTTCTCTCTGGTGTCTGAAACTCCAAGCTCTCTCTTCTAAATGAGTGTCAAATACTTAACTTGTAAAGTACAAGGGTTAGAGTCATGTGCACAGAAAGCACAACTGGACATCTAACCAAGCAGACAAGAGAAAAACAATTTATCCAGGCACTTCCTAAATCAAGGGATCAAATGGAAAGGATGACTTATATTTTTATTTTATTTGCATTTCCTTTCTAAACCTGAATTAGATATTCCTTTCTAGACAAGATAAGAACTCTCCTTAGGTGAACTAAAATCTGGGGTATTTTCAGCTGTGGTCAGCTTCTCTCGGAATTCCACTAGGGTTTGGTGATGCAGAGTAAACAAGGCAATAAATCAAATGCAATGCATTTAATACCTCAATGCATTGCAAATTGATCTGGACTAAGGGTCAGTTCAAATCGCTTTTCAAGTGAAACTTTTCACATTAAGGCTCTTGAAGTGAAAGAGAAGAAAGAAAAGATAGCAAGTTCAAAAGTTATACTGGATTCAGATAGGCAGTTTTTTGTTTTAGGGTAAACTGACATTAGGTCTCCTCAGGTGAGATTCTTCAGTTATTTATCAGCTTGGAGCCATGGATACTTAAAAACACATCCTTGTGGCTGGCATTAAAACTGAAATCTGGTGGGCAACTTTTCAAGAAATAAAAGCTACAAACAAAATCGCTTTAGCTCCATTCAGCCTGCTGTGGGAAACGGCTAATGGACAAGCATTACTATGACTGGCAAGGCGAGATGCCAATAAATGGCAGGAGTACAAAGTCAAACCACCACATAACTATATTTCCTAAGCTTATTTCACTTATCTGTCAAAGCAGGGCAGGATCTGAACCATGTGAAAGAAAAACAGGAGAGGAGAGCAGACAGAAAAGAATTATACCAAAGGAAAAAGCTCAGCTTGTTTCAAAGAGTGCTAGTGGCACAAGGATTAACGTTATCAGCTGCTAACAAAAATGTGAGCAGTTCCAAAGATATGACAGTCTGCTTTCACAAAGATTTACAGCCTTGGAAGACCAATGAGACAACTCTTCCCTGTCAACAGGGTCTCTATGTGTCAGAATCGACTTGATGGCAGTGGGTGTGGTTGGGGTTTACCCTTCTTTCACGGCTGACTGGTTAATTCTATTTACTTCAGGTAATTATGGCTTACTTCATCATATTCTGACACAATATCTGCTTTCACTTGCTCAATGCCACAGTTGATTCCATCCCATCATGACCCTCCATCCAATGCTGGAGCCTGTGAACTTTAACGGGAGGAGACTGCCCAGCTCTCTCTTGTGGAGCTGCTGGTGGATTAGAACCACCAGAGACAGGTGGCAGCCTCTGGTTAGCAGTCTTTTGTGAGCCTGGTTAACTCTGGTTAGTCTTCTGGTTAGCAGCACAACATACAACTGCAGGATGAGACACCAGAACTCCTTACATTTGCTTTAGATAGCAACATTTTCTCTCTATTTTTTAAACATAATTTTGTTCTTGAAACTATACAGAGAAGAATATACATCAATTTAACATGTACAAGTCAGTGAGGTTAAATCTACTCAAGTTGTGTAACCAGTTTTACCCCATTTTTCGGAGTTATTCCTCCTCCATTAACATAACACTCATTGACCCTTAAACTTTCTATCTAATCTTTCAAGCTGCTATTGTCGATTTGATCCCAGAACATCAGATCTTAAGCAAACACAATGGTCGATGTAGGCATTCTTACCTGTTGTTGTTAGGTGTCCTCAGGTCAAGCTAGACTCATAGAGACCCTTTGAACACCAGATCTGAATCCTGTCCTATCTGGTACTAAATTACTGTGTTCTTTAAAGACAACTTTCAGAGACATTTTTAACTTAAGATTTAAAGATTATTTCACGGCAATAGTTTGGGATTTATCCAACTTCAATAGTTCTAGAAAGTCTGCATCCCATGAGAATCTGAAATCAAACGTTCAATGATATTCAGTCACCATCAGTGGCAAACAGCTCTTTCTGCTGGGATGAGTTTCCATCGTTTGCATAAGCATGTATTTTTGGTTTTGTGTTTGTCACACCGCCCCAAGTAGAAAGACCCAAGTCTAGGGGCTGGATGGGAAGGAAGTGTGGAGTCCTGGTATGTTTTCTCAGAGTGGCTGTTTGACTTCAGAAGCCAGATTTTTTTTCTCTCACTTGTAATTATTTTCCCTAGAAAAAGTAACTAATGTCAATCATCTCTCCATTTCCAATAACTAACATCCAGCTATTCCCAATAATGTTTGACAGGCAAATTAACTGTTAAACTGATTAAACTGATCAACAGTGGCCATCTTTCACCCAAATTCTGTTTTATTTCAGACAGGTTCAGGCTAAATTCAAATTGCACGTTCTCTACTTTAGAGCAACAAATTAACTTGGTCTTCATTTCCTCACCTGTAAGTAGGGAATAATCACTGTTTTTCATCATAGGTCATTGCGCCTGGCATGGAAAAAAGCACTATATAAAATTTAACTAGTATGATGAGGGCCCAAAAGCACTTGCACTAACCAGTTAAGTTAGTTCTACTCAACTGTAAAGTTAAGGTTCAGTTGCCTTCGGTCACATTAAACAATCCTCTCACTAATCAGAGGATTTCTGTAAAATTAGCCTTAACTAAGGATAGAATTTTAATAACACCAGAAGTAAGACACTAAACCTATACCTACATGAGTCAACATAAACTATCAAAATAGTCCATACTATAAGATTCACATAATTTAAAATATTATGCACAAAATACGTACTTTTGGGGTGATCTGTTATCAACTTCAGCCTTCAGTCGTAAATTTTCCCTCACCAGGCCCCCATTTTCCAATTTTAATTTTTTATTTGCCTTGAAAAAAAAAGAGTTTAAAATAATTAAGCATAAGCTAAACAAGAGTGCACTGTAGAAATGATCATCTGAGCTATCTGTAATTTTCAGAGTAATATTAGAAAGTGGATTTTTTTTTTTTTAGAACACAGCCTTCAGAAATCACCAGTGGGAATGGCTTGTGAAACTGTGAACTTATAACCAAGCATGTTTAATAGGTATTCCCCAAGCACTTTGTAAATCTCCCATCTAGGGAAATAAACAGAGCTTTGTAAGTTCGCAAGAAGCCATTAAGGGCCATACATAGTAAATACATGCTTCCCCTAAACCCTTTTTCACGTAACTAAATGACTTTATGCCTATCAATATTATAACACATGCAACTATTAGCAAAGCTAATGCAGTTGAGCTATGTGATTTTTTTTCATTATACTACCTTAAAATATTTATTTTTCTAGTGATAACATATCTAATTCATGCTTATATCACTTGCTTTCATTCTTCAAAAAGGCTTTCCCAATGTTCTGGTTGACAACTTCTGGGAATCTCAAAAATTAGGTCAATATTTTCTAATTCATTTCAAGGTCTCTCCTTTGTTTGACTAAAACAAAACAAAACAAAACAAAAACCTCAAATATGATTTTCTTTCTTGAATTTTATAAGAGTTAAAAAGTACCTAATAAAACCCTAATAGCTAGAAAATCTGGAGGCACAATATTAATTCTGATTAATTAATTAACAACAGCTTGCGAAGCTGTTGTTATGTGTCATCGAGTCGGAACCAACTCACAGCTGGCCCTTCTAGCAAGTTTTCAGACGCTGCAATTGCATGGGAGGAGTCTGTCATCATTTGAACCACCTGCCTTTGGGTTGGCATCATAACTCTTTACCAATAAGCCACCACAGTCCCCTGAATAGTAGTATACCTAAATTTGAGTCATCTTAAAATTTCTTCCTTTAAATTCCTTAGTCACTGCACTTGTGAATAACCCCCCCGCCCCCCAAAAAAAAAGATGACTTCCTAACTTGTTCCTAAAAGACTTTATTCTTTGGACAGTGACGTCATGCTTGGGAAGGAGGAGGGAAAGTAAAGGAGAGGAAAACCCACAGCTAGGCAGATTAACATGGTGAATGCAGCGATGGCTTGAGTGTGTCAGAGATTTTAAGTACAACACAGGATAGTACAGAGCTCAGATCAGGTCTCTAGGAATCAAACTTGATTTGATGGCATCTAACAACAACAGACTAGAAATCAGTGACATTAATTTGGTAAGAAACATTCTTTAGTTGACTAGAATAGTTACAATCGAAGTGAGATTACAAACAAGATCTGTTGTCAATGAAAATGTTTAAACCAAGAAGTTGAAAAATAGGTATCAAAAATACGATCAATGTCTGCAATTCATTTCCAGAATTCCTTACTGTATTACTTGTCCACCTATACACAAATGCTCCATGATGATTAAAAGGGAACGCACAGCTGAGAACATTCTTTAGGGTACAAAGCCTTGCTCTGCTTCTTAAGATGCACTGAGATTCCTTTTGAGCTCTGGGCACCTGTTTTATCTCCAGGGGTTCTTACAAACCAGGACTGCTGAGGGTTAATTCTTTCAAGTGATTGACAAACACCATTATTACCTCTATTACTGCCTCTTTGAAGAGTCAAGGAAAGCCATTTACTCCCTCATACACACAATGAATTAAGCCCTCAAGCATAGCACCATAAGAGGAGGCACTTAGCAGATGCTTTTTGATGATGAGTACAAGCTTAAATTAGAAACTCTACTTGATTTCCATTCCTCACCCCTTATATTGTATCCCTCTTTCCAGTACTTATGCTACTATTTCTCATTATAGGCTGGCTAGTTCCTCAACTATCAGATATTTTCAGGTTCAGGAATATCAGGTAAATTCAAACCACAAAGGCATAATTCAGCCTATTTGTTGTACCTTAAAGGATTATGGGGCTTCGTCTGACATACTTTGGACATGTTGTAAGGAGAGACAGGTCCTTGGAGAGGGACATCATGCTTGGTAGGGTGGAGGGACAGCGCAGGA